GTACCTTGTTTTGCACAAAAGCAAACTTGGAAACTAAAAATGTAAGTTAAGTTGAAATTCTAGTGAGTATAATTTTGCAGGTGGTTGGATTGTTTGGAAGACAATGTAGTTGCCTTGGCCAAAGTTGAATATATTCCTAAACTCCTTGGTCTGCTGGGCAGTGGTCAAGAAACCAAAAAAGGGCAGGTGGCAAGCAAGCTTGAGAAGGTGGGTCCTTAATCCCCTGCTCATATTTTAGAAATATGTAGGTTTTAACTATGTACAGTTTTCTGTGACCATTGAAGTTTAGAGCAAAGAGAGTGTGAAGAAATAATATCACTCTTTTCACCTGTCATATGTGGAGGTCCACTGGGAGGGACTAGATGTGTGTGTGCTTTGGGTTAGTAGAGTCTTAATCACTGGTGTCTTGAAGAGCAAGTATAAAATTTTTGGCACAGGCTGTAAACAGAAGTCTTTTTTTAACCAATAATAACAATTTTAATTCAGCTGGTTCTCTGTGCTTATGGGCTATTGGACATTTACAACCAGAACCAGCTCTTTCATCGGTTTCTGACCAGTCATCAGTGGCATAAAGATGACCAGTTTGATCAGACTTTAACATCCGCCTTCAACAGGCTAACTACAGCAGGAAAGCCAGGGAGACAGGTGGGTCAGTGGTTGATTTAATTGTGACCTCTATGGTTCCCTCTCACCAACTTATTTTATTCTTGCAGTATGCTTTTTTTCTTTATGTAAAAAATATTTCTTTTTCAAATATTTTTATTTTTTCAACATAACTACTAGTTTTTATAGCTTTTTTTGTCATTCTCATCTCGCTTTTGTTGCTTTCTGTTTGATTATATTTTTAGGTACAGTGTGAGGTGCTGGCTCTTGCCTTGCAGTCTCCGCATGATGTAATGGAAAAGATCATCCAGTATGCAGTGGTCAATAATGGACAGACTCAGTTAATTACACAGGTTAGATAGTTGTTTTATGCACTTATATTACTTTCTAAAATATTAAGTACTTGTTAAAGAATTTTTTACAAGTTTATTGGTCTGCTGGTTTGTACGTTTGTTTACTTATTGCTATGTTACAAGAAACTACAAGAAACTGACATTTTTTACCCCAAAAATACTGCAGTACTTCATACTTTAACATTGCTAGGTAGGTTGTGGAACAGGAGTTTTGGAAAAATCAAATTTATGAACAGTGCAGTCATATTTTGTAAAACATCTGTAGCTGATTGTTTACTGATAAACATTTGAGTATATCTTTGCACACATCATTGTAATAAAATAATTTTTTTCCACAGCTTTTGAAGTCAGTTCCAGTCCTTTGCCAGTACAATCCAGCCGACCAGTCAAATCTCCCTTTACTGGAAAACGTCTTATTAACATGGCTGAATAAACCAAACATGACAGAGACCCACAGACGGAACTTGATGGCACTTTTGGTGGCAGCAATGCAGGAGGCCCCATTTTTGATATCTCCCAAGTGTTGTTTGGAGCAGTTGGTGGTACCACAGCTGTCCTCGGTGGAAATTGATCCAACTTTTGCATTGCAGGTATTATAATATTATAGCTGTTTCTTTGCTTATTAGGATGTTCTGATTAGAAATAGCTGAAACATTGACCAAATACTTTTCTTTTTGATGAGAATGTAGCCAAAGCTGAAATTATAGTAATCTGGCTAGTCAAAAGGAAATGATGCAGAGTAATTGTTAAAACAGAATGCTCACTTTCTGTGTAAGAAGATACTTTCATTTGTGGATTTTCAAATATGGCATTTTTAAAAACCATATCTTGGTTTTTTTATGAAAGTTCTTGATTATAATGTTGAAAACAATCTTATCTTTTAGGTTTTTCACAAAGTATTACAGTGCTCTCCGTCTTCCATATTGGACTCTGGTTGCTGTGACCCCCTTGCCATAGTAGTCTGCTTGTGTGGTATGATAGAACAGTGCTCCTGTTCCCTGTGGGACCCTGCTGACACAGGGAACAGGACAGTGTTGAAGCAGTGCTGTCTTGATATACTACAAGACATGGCCAATGTGCTGCAAAATCACAAGTTTGTAGGTAAGGAAACAGATTTTTTACATCCTACAGCCTAAGTTTTATTAGAGTTCACACCTTTTTACAATATATATATATATATATATATATATATATATATATGCGCAAATGACCATCAGTTAGGGCTGTCTGTGTTACCAGTTGCAGTCAGTGCTATGTCAGTTACTTGTTCATGTTGCTTTTAGTAATTTAAATTATTTTAAAACTTTAACGGTTGGGTTTGATAGCTTAAAAAAGTGTTAGAGAGTGACCTCATTAATTTATTATAAAGTTATTTTACACATTCTAGTCTGTGATGTTAAGCTGTGCCCCATGGTAAATGTCAGTATTACTGTCAGGCCAGTGAACTTTGGTTAATTTGTTCAGTTACTGGCCACTATTAAATTTCTCCTTTAGGACAGGAGATTCTTAGACACGTGTCCTGAAAGATAAGGAGGCTCAAAAATGTTTGACACAAAGTGATTTACATCTAATCTTCTCCTGTATGTTTTAGAGTTAGATGTGGAATGGTTATGTGAGCAGCTGTGTAATATTGGATGGCAGGCAAGACTGCAGGCTGAACCTGTGCTGAGAGCTATTACTGCAGACACATTACCCAAGGTACCGGTATTTTATGATTTCTACTGAAAGAGGATCATATATACTCTTCTAATCACATGTTTATGTGATATTAATTGTAAGTAATTTAAAAGAGAAAGGGAATATATGCCACTAGTAGAAGATGACACTCCTGACATTTAAATAGAAAAGATATTTATGATTAAGTGAATGATGATCTTTTGTTAGATAAGATGTCTTACTGAGAAGATTGATATGTCAGTATTAATCTTATATTTTCTAGATGAAATATCAGTTAAAGGTCTATCCCAAAGTCATCTCCAGTATCTGCCATCTTCCTGCTGATGAATGGTCTGCAGTCGATGTGACGACAGGTATGTTTACTTTCTTTTCTTAGAGTGTAAAGAAAAAATGCTGTATCAGTATTAGAAACAGCACACAAGTACATCATCAAGTGGGCACTAAATAACCCAAAATGAACAAACATCTGCTGTTACAGTAGTACTAATAATCAGGAATCATCAGGACAAAAATGTTAAATGCTTGTCAGTCATCAAAAAACTGGATGTTGATTATTTACATGTACATAGTAGATTCTTCACTGTACAACTCAAATTATCATTTTCCACGAACAAATAAATCTACTGGTCTCAGAGTGCCAAAGGTATACAGAGTCTACTGTATGCACAGCGTATATTGTTAATTGTATTTTTAATAATTTTTGATTTTTGATAATTTATTCTCAGATGAGGAGGTGGAAGTTTCACTTCTCAAGCTTTGTGCTAACAGCAACACTTTGACATCAGCAGTATTAGAAGGAATGGATTGTAATACAGTAATGTCCTACCAGTGTCTTCTGTCAGCAGCCATACAGGTAATTATCAAATGTTGACTTTTTTTACACAAAGCATTACAATTACGCAGCTCGGGGATAAGACTGTTGGACAGAAGTAATTATTCTTAATAGATAGGATTTTAAAATTTTGTTCTTGAAACACATTTTCTCTTGGAAAATTCAAGTATCTTCTGCCAGGTAGCTTAATGTGAAGTGGAGCTTAAAGTGGAGCTGTGCTAAGACATTGACATTCAATCTTTAACTCACCTTTCAGGTGTTACCAAATTGTTTGATGAGTGAGTGGTCAAACATTGTATGTCTAGTTGGTCATCTCGTGAGGGCTGACCAGGTCCACGTCCAGTTTCAGACACATTACATGACACATCTGCCACTTGTGGACCTCACAGGTAAATATGGGTTCAATATATCTGTTAATATCATCTTATGTTACAATATTCAGATAATCCAAGTTATAGAATCTTTCTTATTTGCAATTTCTCCACTTAACAAATTCTCCAGTGGTTATGGAATTTTAGAACATTTTATGAATATTGTAAAAAATGTCCCAGAATCACCTCATTTTATAATTTTGGATTTTCTTTTTTTAGTGTTTGTCACATAAAATTACAAAATACTGTTATCTAGTTGGTCATGCCATCATTTTAGGAGACAGTTAAGAAGACATGTCACTTTATATATATGCCAGTACATGTTAAAGATTCTTAATAAATGTCCAATTCCAGGTCTTAAGTATGAACTGAGCTTGTTACAGTTTACCTCAGATGTGATGTGCCTATGGCAGACATTGTATGGGTTTATGTTGCAAGAAAAAAATGGTGAAGGATTTTGGTTTCATCTTAACCAATGTTGTGCCAACACGCTCAAAGTAAGCACATTCTAAGTAATGCCATCTACAGAAAAATTTATTAGACTAAGGTAGCCTTGGAAATGACCGAGTGATAAAATTGATTTTTTGGAAAATGTATTCGAAAGACAAATTGAATTACAATCATTATTTTTTTAAATTATTTTTTATTCATTGTTTTATTACATTTTTAGAAACAGGTAACAACATCCTAATTTAACTTCAACAACCTTTAACTTGAACAACTTTAAAAAAAAAAATTTCAACACTGAAGTTATAATAACAACTTTGTAATTTTTTGTCAGTTGCAAAACTTCAAATTCAGTTAAAAAGGTTTAATACAACCATGTTGAACACAATGTCTATATTTCAGAGTGTCTTCAGCAGTCTCTCTCACCCAGCTACCAGCCAGGCCTTCCTGTTGAGTCAAGCAGTATGCCACGTCTGCCATCTTCTGTCTATTCTCCCTGCTCTAGGCACAGAATCCATGTTTGTCCTTGTTCTAGACTGGCTGTCAGAGCTACAGGCAGATAGTGTACTTAAGTATACATTATTGTACAGAGAAACGATTGAGGAAAGTATTAGACTCATTCAAAATGAGCAGTGGTCTCAAACTTTGCTGAAAAAGTTGTTATAATGGTGTCATTTCATCAAGGAGACCCAGGAAGAATATTTTTGCCAAATCATATTTAAGACTTCCCTGAAGGCAACACAAAAATGTATCCATTGGTGTTTGCGAAATACATTCACATTATACAGGGACCTCAGTTCTGAAATCACAGACTCGCATGTAATGTTGCTCTGACCTTTAAGACAGCAAAAAGTGAGGTAGATTTGAGAGTTGGGTATGACATCATGGAACTTCTATCTCTTTTCAAATAAAATATAATGAAAAAAATGTTTTGTTTATGGATTCTTTAGGATTTAGAATTGTACATACATGACAGGCTAATCATTGTCCTTCACAAACAAATTTAAAACTTGAAGTTGTTCATTTTAAGACGAGCAATAATAAATTCTGACTGAAATTTTGCCCCAGTTCAGTTACTGACATATCTGCAGTTGTCTAGTCGGAGACAGTAACTATGGATCAATCACATAATCCAAAGCCATGTCTTTCTTGCTATAAAACAGTCAAAATATTGCACCTTAAATGGACTAGGTTTGATTTATCTCGAGTAAAAACTTCGTTCTGGAGTTCTTTTGTGATGGCAGATGCCCCCCTTACATCATGACAGTTCAAATACAGGTAAGTTGGTATCAGACTATGTTATCTGATTTCAAGATGAACCCCGTTCTCTGTGGTACACCTGCCATCAACGCTTGTCTCCAGTCTCCTGTCTGCTGGAACTTCAACAAAATGTCAAATACTGAAAAATGAAATGATGGGGAAAATTAAAACAATACATTTTAGATACATGTTATACTGAAAGAAAAAAAATCATGCAAGAAGTATAATATTGCTGTGTTATAGTGAAAAAAAAAATAAACGCAAAATAAGTAAAACTTCGCAACTTTATTCTTACAGCATGTTTGCCTAATGTTCACTGACAACATCGAAACATTCTGTAGGTGTCATTTACCAAATACATTTATTTGTACAACAATAGTGTAAACATTTAACCAATGGCTACAGTTAATGCCAAAATGATTTTTCTTTTAGTTTTACTACTCTCAAACTGGTTTAACCATTTTGCCATCTTGTAGCCAAAAAAATATATTGACAATACTTGGAAGCAGCAGTCAAAACTTTAGGGGAATTAACAGGATTAAAAAGATAAGAACAAAGATGGTTAAGCATTTCACTTACCTTGGTTTACTGCCAATATTTTAGAGAAGGTGCCCTGGTCGCCTTTGGTCATGTATTCATCTATGGGTAGTCTGGCTGTCTGAACCCCTGCTGTCTGGGCTGCACTTGAAGTGATGTTCTGCAAGATATAGATGTTTAAGAACACCAATTAAAAATAATAAATCATATGCCATGGTAAATTTTTTTAAATTGTAACAGACAAAATATTCTTTTGAAATCTTTTAGATAATGATCAAAACTGTCAGGCAATATTTTGTTTGGGTCTGGAAACATTTGTAACTTTTGTATGCAGTCTGCCATGTCAATACTACCTACTGGCCACTATTTCTGTTCTTCGTCAGTAGATTCTTAGACCATAGTATTCCAAAAGGCTAATAGACTTAAAATTTTTGACCAAATAATGAATACCGAAGATATGAAAAATTATCAATAATTTTGTTTTGTTCCACCCCTACCTTGTTAGGGCTCTCGTCAACCAGTCCTCCCATGACATACACCTTGTTCCTGTCCAAACCAGTGAGCACAGTGCTGCCATCTGGGGTCAAGAACACAAGATCTTCCCGCTTAAATAATTCCATGTGAGATTTCTCAGTCATGTCAACCTGCAAAACAATGGCAAAATAAAAATATGCAATCATTATTCTTTTTTTTCATTGCTCCTTCAAACAATAGCATCAAACATACATGTAACTGTTCACCAATGTTTTCAGCAAAGAAAACTACTGTGTTAAATATTCTAATTGACCTTTTGTCGTAAAGCAAAAGTTGCTTGGCTATAACACAGCATACAGAAGAGGGAATGCATAAGAAAGGGAGAGCAACTAATCTTGCATGCACTGCATCTAACATATAAAAAGAGACACACTTGCATTACATCTTTCTATTTCAATAACCAAAATGTGTTATAGTAAATGGACTTCACTGGTGAACAAAAAGCAAAGTAGTTGTTACGACCACATGACCCCCACACATCACATGACCCCCCACATCACATGACCTCCACACATCACAGTTCTCTTACTATGTTTTACAATGTCTAACGTGGATTCCAGTATTCACCATATAATTTTCAAATCCTTCATTTTTCCTCACACATTCTTGGTAAAGCACACCATCTTTGTTAAGGTTTGTGAAGTATATGTGCATAGGATCTTCAGACTGTCTATTAGAACCATACAGCCGGCCAAGCTGCTGGGCTAGTTTGCTTTTTTCCTATGTAAAAAATGTCTGCTTAAATTTAACATTCATTTTAAAAGCAAAACTGTTATAAAACTCTTTCAGTCTTTCAAATACAGATACATTTTTTAACAGGCAATTCAAAGAAGGTAATAATTTCATTACACTGAAATTCATTAAAATAAAACTTGTTCAAATGAATCCAAAGCTCAGCATTATCTATATTTATTAAATAATATAGTAGAAAAAGACAAAACTTTTGTCAAAAATATAATCTTATTATTTTTCTCACAGTTTAAACAACTTATCTAATAAACACTTTTCGCAAAATCAAAACATCTGGTGATATAATAAAGAATTATATCAGTAGGCATGGAGTTGAAGGAAAACTGAACTCTTGCCTTTTCATATTATAGCAGTAAATAATTACACTCAAACTCCTAAATCACCTTGTCACTCATGTGCTGCTCTAGGCCCAGATCTACACAGACTCTTTGCCCTGTTTCCAAGGCTTGCAGGCACCTTTTCTTAGTAAGAGCTTTCAGATCACGCTTACTCAGCCTCTCTGAATCACAGGTGGAAGATGCCTCTGCTACAAAATTAAAGAATAATCATTTACAGATAGAAATTGAAATTCAGTACAACTGAAAGTGTGACCTGGATAGAATGTGTGAAAAGTTCATTTTTTTTTTAATTTAATTAAATTAAAAAAATTAATCCAATAACAATGATAATAAAAATAACATCTTACTACTAGCTTCTTGCTGCCTGTTTTGTTTTTTCTGTTCCTTCTTTTGCTTTCTTTTTAACTTGTGTTGACTTTGAATCCTTTCATATCTTAATCTAAGTTTTTCACTTTTCTGAAAAAATGAATTAATAAATATAACGATCATAATAAGTCATTAACGTGCAAAAAATGAGAAACCTTTTCACTTATAAAGAAAAAAAAACTTAAATGTTATGCTAGAAGATTTAACCTGAATGAGCCATTAATACGATGTACATATACTACTATATTTTTCTTTCTTATTTCCCTTTTTTAAATAGATCAGTATACACGTACTTTACACAGTAAACAATACATGTTTCAGGAAATTGTGACAATCATTCCTGCTGAAGAATAAAAAAAACATATAAAAGTCATAGCCATACATTCAAGTGTTTTCTCTTCTCATCTCCAGGTCCAGTTCTTTGAAGAAGTTCTCTTCTGACCCAATCTGTGTCGGCTTTGAGCTGTTCTGCTTCAGTTTTGAGCTGTTCTCCTTCAATTCTGACCTGTTCTGCTTCAGCTCTGAGCTGTTCTCCTTCAATTCTGACCTGTTCTGCTTCAGCTCTGAGCTGTTCTCCTTCAATTCTGACCTGTTCTGCTTCAGCTCTGAGCTGTTCTCCTTCAATTCTGACCTGTTCTGCTTCAGCTCTGAGCTGTTCTCCTTCAATTCTGACCTGTTCTGCTTCAGCTCTGAGCTGTTCTCCTTCAATTCTGACCTGTTCTGCTTCAGCTCTGAGCTGTTCTCCTTCAATTCTGACCTGTTCTGCTTCAGCTCTGAGCTGTTCTCCTTCAATTCTGACCTGTTCTGCTTCAGCTCTGAGCTGTTCTCCTTCAATTCTGACCTGTTCTGCTTCAGCTCTGAGCTGTTCTCCTTCAATTCTGACCTGTTCTGCTTCAGCTCTGAGCTGTTCTCCTTCAATTCTGACCTGTTCTGCTTCAGCTCTGAGCTGTTCTCCTTCAATTCTGACCTGTTCTGCTTCAGCTCTGAGCTGTTCTCCTTCAATTCTGACCTGTTCTGCTTCAGCTCTGAGCTGTTCTCCTTCAATTCTGACCTGTTCTGCTTCAGCTCTGAGCTGTTCTCCTTCAATTCTGACCTGTTCTGCTTCAGCTTCTCTGAGTTGTTCTCCTTCAGCTTGGACCGTTCCGCTTCAGCTTTGACCTTTTCTCCGTCATCAATGCACTCTTTGACTTTGGTCAACAACGAAGGGCTGGGTGTTGATGCAGTGGCAGAAGCCATCGCTGGGTTAGCTGTTCGTTTCATGCGTTTTGCTAACGTTGTTGCATTGATGGCCACTACATATCGAGTTTTACAACATAATGTGGTAAATGTGAAAATATAAGATACAATGATCTTCCTGAAAGACTTGAACCCCTTAGTATATAAACTTCTTAAAATAATTATCTTGAACAGACAAATGCACCGCCAAACACACGCTCTCAGCGATCTATAATGGAAAACTACTGACTGCCGATTATATAGGTACCGAGAAATGCATCGAGGAAATGCACTCGTGATCTCAACTGACGCATTTATTTTGCGTTTGGAGGGGTTTTAGCTGTGCGGCCCCCAGTAACACAGCGCCCTCAGACTGTGGCAAATTAGAGTTCATATTGACAACGCACTGACGACAGGAACGCCCTGCACATGATAAACGTGAAATCATGAACTCGTGACCACACTCATCAACTGCACAATGAGGAATGTTTTTCGTTGCACCACAACGGAGAAATAGAGGTCCAGATTATAGATAAACAGGAGAACAGATTGATATTATGTCCGTCTCTGAAACAAAATCCGTAAACAAAAGTTAATTGTTTGGAAACAATTTTCTGGTCACTTTAATTTCAGGAACTCGTTAATGTTAACATTAATTAATATTTTTATTATGTGCTAACGTACATGTAATTAATTGCAAGAAAGAGCCACGCAAGAATTTAGAGCTGTATCTATGCATGGTAAGCATTGCAAATAATACTTTTATGGTAATATACAGTATAGTCTCGTTTTTTCCCTCGTTGATAGAACCCCAGCATTGACGGACTTATATAAAGTCAATTTTGCACATTGCAAGCTTTTTATTGCTCTTCAAACTTTTTAGTAAATCTATAATTTTCAGTTTTACGCAAACAGTGGTGACAGTTTTGCAAAAATATACCCAGAGATCGGTAATGGCAACCCTTGACTTATAGTTAAGTAAATCCTACGGTGGAACATTTAATTCAGGTGACACTCCTGTGAAGACCCATGCAGCTTCATGTGAAGATACTAGGAGTTAACAGGGGGAATTCACCACAATTAAGTTCTGTGAGCCCTTTGCATTGCCACATCACTGGAATGGAAAAAGACTTGAGGCAAGTGGCTAGAAAAAGCAATAAACTGAAATTGATTATCATAAACATAAATACTTAAAAGAAATTAATTTTATTATAAATGTTATTATGTAAAGTAAACAATCATCTGGTCCTTATTAAAAATTTCAGAAACTTGTTATGACACGTTTTAACCAAAGAGCAGTATAATACGTTTTTTCTTTTTGCCTTTTTTCCCTCCCTCCATCTCCTACTGATTTTGTATTTCTGCAATGAATGGTTATAGGCTGAGCCTACTGCTTAATTTTTTTTCCTATTTCTACTTTTTACTTTGTCTAATTTAAATAAAGGAACCAAAAATCTTTTTTTAGAATTTCAGTTGCAGGTAATCTTCTCCAAAACACCTGGTTAATAGAGGCTAAACATCAGTTTTGCAGAGTACTTCTCTCTTAAATTGGCAGGAATTCCGAAATGAGAATCAACCAAAAAATGATGAGGCTTGCTCAAGGTATTTACTGATAATGAAAAATTCTTGTAATATTTGTGATTCGTGATGTATTCTTATATATATATGATGGTTTATTACAAAAACTGCATATCTCCATATCATGCAGACACCTGTCTGGAAAAGGATGTCGCTGTGTAATTCATCATAAGATTGGTATCACTTCCTTGCCAACCTCTTGAAATATAAAAATGACTTCAAAGACATAATTTTGATTATTTCCCCACCCAGTGCTATCATGCAGATAATTTGCAAATATAAATGATTATGTGATGCCACTCGGGTGGCAAAATGATAAATAAAAAGAAGGTTATGTAGGGCCAGGCACTTAAAGAGAGGCTGTTATTTATTTTTTCAAAAAAGAAAATCACACCATTTACTTGTGGATTATGCAACACAAATATGCTTTGAAGTGTGTCAGCATTTCAACTTTATATAAAATGTTTATTTTGATCTAGTGGTTATTTAGTCACAAATGGTACTTTTTATTTACTAAATATTGTTGTAACACGAGTCACATAAAATCACCCATTTATGCCCTACAATTGCCAATTTCGCTGATTCCTTACATATTTGAGCATCATTTTACGTGAGACAGTTATTGTGTGAAGTTACTGCCTTCAATTGACTCAAACTACTGTATTTGGTAAACATAATGCCATTTAATTCATGACTTGATAACTTGCTTGCCCTTTGTTAGCTTTTAAGTCAGAAGCACCAGTGCTAGCATATCCATATACACACGGGTCAAAAAAAGAGAGAGACCCTTGACTTGTTGTATGTTTTGACTATGAAGCGCTTCTTTTCTCTTACACTCAGACATTGTGACTACAATTTTCAGTTCTATACAAGCGTTTTGCACAATAGTAATATTATGCCAAATTTCATAATCATATTCCCTTGACAATGTTGCACTTTAATTTTGGAGCATGATACAGCTCAAGAGACATAACCTCTTATCCTTTTACGGCGTCTTTGATCAACAATACCCCTGTATGCATGTTTACTTGAATTACCGGAGTTGAAAGGCCCGCTCTGTAAGCAACAACAATGCTTTGCATATGCTTGATTTGGGCAATTTGATCGGGGCATTTGACAGAGAGCTATTTTGTTGAAGTAACCCTATCCCCATCTTGTACTACTTGCATCACAGAAAGGGAAATTATTATCTAATTATGTCCCTCGTTTCATATTTTTGTATTAGAAAAATTTGATATCAAAGCGAAGCGGACAATGCCAGTTCAATCGGCTGTGATCTAAGGAATACAGGTTCATCAAAACCCGTGTTGTAATGATAAAAGAAGCTAGAGTACTTCAATGTTCTGGTATGTCGACATACAGGTGAAAAGATTACAGACGTTCAGAACTGCAACAAGATAACATGGACATATTATTTGTGAAGATTGATTGGAATTTATACTCTGAACGATCTATCATCAGAGAATAGCATTCAAAAGGTTTTACCTGTATGTACAAATACATCTTATTCTTCACTTACAGAGGAGATCATAACAACAGTGGACCCAGAGAAAAAGATCCAGCAGCAGGTAAGGTTTTATTTGCTTTTTATAATTTCATATGTTGTTGTAAGAAAAAATTCTGAACCTGATTTTTTCTTATGTGTTACATGCAAATTTGCTTAGAAATATGTGAGAAGGACTTTTAAAAATATGCATTTAAAATTACGTCTCTTCTACAGGTAAGTATTATATATATATAGCTGTTTTGTGTTTTATTGGGAATGCCATTGCGTTGTTTACTTCTGCTAAAAATTAAGAGAGGTTTCAGTTATAATGTGGCACAGTGGGATGAGGATTGTTTTCCCTGTATGTGTTTCTGAAAAGTGAATGAGATAATAAATACATTAACTCAATGTTTTGAAACATTTTTTGTGAAAAAGTTGATAATTTTGTAATGCTGCAACTTCTCAGGATTTTTTACATTAGAAAATTGTAGAAAAAAAGACAAATTGAGGGTTTTTTGTATCGAATAATTGAGTTGAGACAGTATCAGTATAATTTATCCCTATAAGATATTTTCACCTGTATTTGCCACACATGGAGAGGAAGAATGGTGTAGTTTTATGAAGATACTATACAAAAGGAGTTTGTGCATTAAAATTATCTATATTTCTTATGGACACATTTTTATTTCTTGAAAGTTGACAAACATGTCCCTGAAGATAGAATAGTAGCATTGTCATTAAAAAAGATAGAAGGTGACAAATAATTTGAATTTACAAGTTTGACCATCTTTTGGTTATAGAATTTGCACCCCAGATACATTTTTTATCTAACAATCTGAAAATGTTAAGAAAACATCATCACAAATATGTGTAAATATTTGAAGACCTGCCTTTAAATGTTCTGTCAACTGCTGTGGTATTGGACAAAGCCTGTCTACCTAACATGAAAGAAAATATAATTTTGATTTCACCTGTTTGGGGTAGTGTATAACAGGGTTATGCCCAGAGGGAGAATCTGTTCTTTGAAGTATGGCTGCTTGGCAGAGAAGTTATTTGCCCGACTGAGAAATCTTTGTTTAACATCTTAGCTTGTGTTAAATAGTGAGTGAAAGGGAAGAGAAATGAGGCAGGGGATGTATCAGAAGAGGGAAAATAAGGACCCTTGGTGTTCTGATGGGGGGAAATAAGTGGCTGGAATTAAGTGCATCAGGTTGAAATGTGTTGTCTGAGGAAGTTTTATTGAGTTTTAGGTGGAATGTATTTAGGCCAAAATGCAGTGGACTTTTTTTGACAGCATTTGTCCTTAGCTTTATGATATAGTATGTGGTTAAACTAAGATTTTAAAGTGTCCATCTTATCACCAAAAAGAAATTAAACGGGTCCAAATTACTTAATTCTGTCATTTATACCATATTGGTAGGTTATAATATATTGAAAAAGTAAAAAATAAAAGCCAGATAAAGTTTGCAATTAATGCATTCCCTTTTAGTTTGTGAATTTTTTTTTAGTCACATTCACAGGAGTATCTACCTTTGATATTTATGACCCAATATCCGTAAATTGCAAACTGATGACTACATACTTCCCCATCCCACCCAACACGGCAGCACTTGTGTATTACAAGTGCATGCGCGTTATTCATTTCATTGTTTTTTTTGTTGTTGTTGTTGCTGCTTTTGAACAACAGTTTTTTATCCTTACTAATTTACTCATTTGGAGTTAATTGTGCACATGCCTTATTTAGATGTTTAAGCAAAATAAGCTTAGTAATTTAAACTGAAGATGATGATTTATGGATTTTATTTCCTGGGACAGAAACCATGTAGCAGGGAAGAAAAAATTAAGTTGCATTTGAGATTTCTTAGCTGCCAGGAACAAATCTACCTTTATGTGATATAAATGATTCAATTTCAGTTAATGGTCAAACAATTACAACAGACTCATTCATCCATGGTTCAATATTTTTTCATTACGTGTTGTTGTTAGGTTTTTATGCTAGTAATTTACTCTTGAGTTATTGAAGTGTGTGACTCTTGAAGGCATAAAAGGTGAATTGATATTGAGACATGAAGTTCGTTTTTATTAAGTTTATAAAGTGTAAAGTAATTTCTAGATTTATATGAAATATGTGGGGCGGCAGTCACACCTAGGCAGCTTTGCATGTTAATTCCTTCCTGAATATTTTCTCTGCTTTGTTTATCAGACTCAATTTGATTTTTGTTTTGTAGATTTACCAGTATACAAGCCTTTATATAGGGAACAGTGAAGCATCAAATCAAATCACTGCACTGTATTTCCATTTTGTCAACAGTCTGAAAAAATGTGATCTGATGAATGAAAAGCACTAGTATATACCTGTAGAACAGGAAGGAAGCCATCTAGATGCATGGCTAAGATAAAACAGCACAATTCTGGTTACATCAGCAGGTGTTTTTAAAATTTTTTTCTCATTTTTAGAATTCATAATTGACAATTATACTATGTATATGTTGATGTGAACTGAAAGGTGCAGGGGAAATATATTTAAATCTAAATATTTTGGCACTGTCACAATAAAGTTTTGAAATTGAACATTTTACATCTCGACCCAGTTTCGTCGGCACTCGAGAACACAACCACTTTCCCATAGATAACACATGCTATCCATGATAAAATTGTTATCCTCTGGAGAGCTATTCTTAGGATATCAACTTTATCCAATGGATATGTGATAGTACATAAGTGGAAGTTCTTTCTATTGCTGATGTTGGTGAACCCTAAAGACTTAACTGATATTCAGAAATACAATTAAAGGTTGCAGATTGTGCTAGGTGTTCTATAATTCACAAGTGGAAGGCATATTCTACTGCTTAATGTGATTGCAGGATTTTCACAACCAGCAGGTTCAGTGCAATCTTATTACTCCAAATTACTGCTCTTTGGTGGGATTTGGAAGAAAATAGAAAGATAAATATAATATATTTATGTTTTGGTTATCTACATGTATGTCTTGGACAAATAGACAAACAGTCACACTGACGGCAGCCGACATACAGACTGACGAATGTACAGACTTTACAAAAGTACCGGTATACTTTTGCCTTGAATTCAATATCTTCAATACTAACAAACTCAATGGGAGTACTTTTTACCAGTTTTGCTACATTATTGTTTTTTGCTGTCAGCATGTAATTCAAGTCCATTTGCCATTATCAAAGCAACACCAAAGTATAGATTTTCTAATAGAAACTGTCATAATCTCAATATGTTTTTTTAAAGCTGTAACAAAGGCGATTCCCCTAGGTAAGTGAAAGGCAGCACTGTATGCCCAGGGGTCAGTGAATTGTGATAGTGCATCAGCTATGACCATCTATTTATCTGTACAATTGACGAAGCATGGCAATTGACTAATTAAGTGTTGATATAATCTGAAAGTTACAATAATTGGAAAATTCAGGAAAAATATAACGCATAAAAATAACTCACTTCAGACATATTGTAAGTAGAACAGCAGTCGTAGGCATATATGTATGTAAATTTGCAAATTGAAATTGTCCATATCACTTTTTATTTTTACTATTAGGAATTACATTTAATGTATTTTATATTAATTATTATTGATATATTTTTGCATAAAAAAGTTTTGGTACTACTTGCTGTAGACAGAATCATCCATGTTTCACAGTTTCAAAAGACAGTTATTGTTATTATATTTTGAGTAAGTAATTTATAGCATTTGACTTGTGGTGTAGTGTGAGACTTCTGGTGCATGTGGCTCCATCTAAAGTTCAATTAAGATGAGTATGGGTCTGCCTAGAGTTCTGATGTGCTAGCTGTAAGGGGGGGGGGCAAGGAAGGCTGGCTAGGTGCAATTAATTAAGTTTTAAAATGTTTTTCTTCAAATTTGCAATTCTACTTAACAGCAGCCTAGGGTTCTAATAAACTGCCTTTTTACCATAAAAGATTTAAATCAAAATTTGATTTAGTTATGTTCTGTTCTACTATGATGATAGGTAAAAAGGTCCATTTTTTCAGGGGAAGAGACCCCTCCCCTTTGACATTGCTGGCTACAGCTAAGGCCCATTTTATTTTGAGTTTTTTGTTTTTTTTGCATGTTAAAAGAAACAAACATTTTTAGGAAATCTTGATTGTATGTGCTGTATTTAACACTTATAGCAAGACTATTGCTTTGCATGACAAAGAAAAGAGAAAGGGAGGAGTCAGTATAAGACAGCATAAAAAAAAGAAACAAAAAGTGAAAAAAATCCATGAGTCTAATGCCAAAACAGTTTGTGGATTTCTCAGAGGGCCCCTAGCATGAAATAAGCCATTAGCCATACATCAGCACACTTGCCAGGAGTGTTCTACACTGCTGCTGCCTGGTGCGTGACTGTTAATTGAACATACCATATTGATTCCAGACAGAATCTCATCTATCAGCTAGGTGTTGCCAGGGCTATAGGCACAGACACATTTACACGTAGAGTATGTCGTCATAGTTGTGCGTCGTGTGTGTGCACATGTGTGTGTGTGCATCACTGCATACACATTGAGGACATTTAGCAGATGATCCTTGGGTATACTGATCCGTGGATCAAATATGGTTTACCCCACATGAAAGAAGAGCCGACTAACCCACTGATCTTCTCCCCGCCTCTGCACACGCCATTAAATGGAAGAAATCATGGCTCCTAGGTTTAATTGCTAGATTTCTGCAAGGTGGACCTGGCTCTTCTTTTATTTAAGACTATAGCCATATTTGATCCGGCTGGATCAGTAGATCAGAGGATCATCTGTTGCCCACATAGACAAAGGCAATAATTTACGGGCCTTAATTATCTATGGTTTCTAAAAAGAGGTATAGCCAGATAACTGGCCTTAACTTTTAGACAAGAATTTGTGCCCACTTTCACTGAACCTCGATGATTAAATTGATATTACTTCCAATTAAATGAAATATTGAATCTGTTTGATAACAAGAGCGATGTGGATAATGTTTCAGACCAATATACAATACTGGTGATCACACAGAAAAAAAAAAAAAAAAAAAAAAAAAAAAAAAATGGCCCCAGGGGAGTATATGCAGCAATTACTCTTCTTAGACAAACAAACATAGCAAGTAATTAGATTTTTGAAATATGTGCTTTATCATTGAGCTCCTCTTGCATGCTGTCTGTAAAGTCAGAGACCCACTGGCATCATGAGTTTGCACAGATCTCTGTCACAGTGATAGCGGTTTATTAAAGCAGACAGCCAGACTTGAACCTAATTGTTACAGCCAAATGTGACTTTAGAATAGAATAATGTCAATACCAAGCATATTACTTTCATGAAATTAAGTAGTGTTAAACTTATTACTTAATGCCTTATCATGTTTAACCATAAGAACCAGGCAGTGCCATATCTGTTCATGTTCATGCAGCACATTTGCGACTAATTGGTTTTTTGCACTTGTGTTTTTCTATAAGTTGTGTATCTGTGTGATATGGTATTACCCATTTACAATATCCCGTCATATATAGTTATCATGTAACATAGTGCTTTCAGTCTTGTCCTTACACTTGAGTCTTGTTACTTCATAATATTAATGTAATTTGTCTAGGACTTAATTAAGTATTATCCTATCTGTTGTTTTTTGTCATGGGTCCAATGTTGTTGTGAAACTGTCATGGTGTAATGCTGCCATGGTTAAACTTTTTCAGAGTGCTCTGTTGTCATGGACCTGTTTATTTAATTCTTGTTGCCATGATAATTTTCATTGTGTTCATGATTATCAAGCTGCCATACTTTGTCATGCTTTGGCATAGTGCCATTCTATATGTCTTAATTTGTGTTTCTCAGATATGGTCATGGTCTTGTTGCCATATGGTGCTACTGTACACACTCTGTCATGATGCTGTAACAATTAAAGTGCCCACTCAGTTGTGGTTCTACACTATGATGGTGTTTCCCTGAAATGATGCCATGTTGTGGTGGTACTTTCTCATGGTGCCATGCTATCATTGGTCCTCTGTCATGGTGGTCATGCTGCTTTTTTGTCATGGTTGGTCATGGTGCTGTCATGGTGTTACAGTTTCATGATATTATATCAACCAAAACAGAAGATCACTACGATAGAGTTACACCATGATAAGGAAAAAAACATGACGAAGTAGCACCCTGACTGTAATTAGCAACAGAATGACAGCACATACCTGTAGCACCATGAAGGAAACATATGGCAGCATAGCTGATACTGGTACATATGTATCCCTGAGCTGCAAAAGGACAGAATTCTCCCTTGACATTGTTTTATAATTTGTAGGATATGCCAAAAAATAAGATAACGTGCCTTTCTTGCTTGGATGTGCCATATCTGTGAATAAAATTAATTTAATGTATGTCATAAGTTCTTACATTAATAATGTTATTCACATTGATAAAGTTACTTATTTGGAAGATGGCTAATTATAGTTTCTCTTGTATGAATAACATCCAACTCCTGCGAGATTTTTATTCGAGAAAAGGTGTCCTCAGAGGCTCAAATAATTATATGAGACTTAAAAATCAATGCTAATTTTCCAATGTAACGTAGACAGTGCATTGTCATTTGATGTATTTTGGGTGCATATTATTAAGTTAGGGATTATGGTGCACATGAAGGTGTTGTTGCCCCAAATAGATTGTGTAGTATNAGTTTGCACAGATCTCTGTCACAGTGATAGGTTTATTAAAGCAGACAGCCAGACTTGAACCTAATTGTTACAGCCAAATGTGACTTTAGAATAGAATAAGCTGTTCTGGATGTCAATACCAAGCATATTACTTTCATGAAATTAAGTAGTGTTAAACTTATTACTTAATGCCTTATCATGTTTAACCATAAGAACCAGACAGTGCCATATCTGTTCATGTTCATGCAGCACATTTGCGACTAATTGGTTTTTTGCACGTATGTTTTTCTATAAGTTGTGTATCTGTGTGATATGGTATTACCCATTTACAATATCCCGTCATATATAGTTATCATGTAACATAGTGTTTCCAGTCTTGTCCTTACACTTGAGTCTTGTTACTTCATAATATTAATGTGATTTGTCCATGACTTAATTAAGTATTATCCTATATGTTGTTTTTTACCTAGGTCATTTTCCTGTCAAAGTGTCATGGGTCCAATGTTGTTGTGAAACTGTCATATGGTGTAATGCTGTCATGGTTAAACTTTTTTAGAGTGCTCTGTTGTCATGGACCTGTTTCTTTCTTGTTGCCATATGATAATTTTCATTGTTTTCATGATTATCAAACTGTCATACTTTGTCATGGTGCCACTGTCATAGTGCCATTCTATATATATATGTCTTAATTTATGTTTCTCAGATATGATGGTCTTGTTGCCATATGGTGCTACACACTCTGTCATGATGCTGTAACAATTAAAAGTGCCCACTCAGTTGCGGTTCTACACTATGATGGTGTTTCCCTGAAATGATGCCATGTTGTGGTGGTACTTTCTCATGGTGCCATGCTATCATTGGTCCTCTGTCATGGTGGTCATGCTGCTTTTTTGTCATGGTTGGTCATGGTGCTGTCATGGTGGTACAGTTTCAAGATATTATATCAACCAAAACAGAAGATCACTACAATAGAGTTACACCATGATAAGGTAAAAACATGACGCAGTAGCACCCTGACTGTAATAAGCAACAGAATGGCAGCACATACCTGTAGCACCATGAAGGAAACATATGACAGCATAGCTGATACTGGTACATATGTATCCCTGAGCTGCAAAAGGACAGAATTCTCCCTTGACATTGTTTTATAAGTTGTAGGATATGCCAAAAAATAAGATAACGTGCCTTTCTTGCTTGGATGTGCCATATCTGTGAATAAAATTAATTTAATGTATGTCATAAGTTCTTACATTAATAATGTTATTCACATTGATAAAGTTACTTATTTGGAAGATGGCTAATTATAGTTTCTCTTGTATGAATAACATCCAACTCCTGCGAGATTTTTATTCGAGAAAAGGTGTCCTCAGAGGCTCAAATAATTATATGAGACTTAAAAATCAATGCTAATTTTCCAATGTAACGTAGACAGTGCATTGTCATTTGATGTATTTTGGGTGCATATTATTAAGTTAGGGATTATGGTGCATGTGAAGGTGTTGTTGCCCCAAATAGATTGTGTAGTTACAGTTCAGTGCAGGCAAACCACCTCTCCTAACACGTACCCCTCCCCCCCCCCCCCATCATCTTCCTGTTTTGCACTTAAAAGATGGTGTAGCAGTAGATTATATCTAGTTGAAACATGGATGTAGTTGTCTGGCCTAGCTATAATAGTGATGCAAGACTGAATGCTGCATTTTTTCTGAAAATAAATATACATTTTTGGATGTCTTATAAAATTTAAAGAAGCTAATAGATGCATGACTTTTTTTTGTAATCTGTACTTCTCTTCAATGATTCTAAGTCATATAGTTTATCAATAATTTTTAAGTATATTTTTCACCTCCGGCAACTAAGCATTAAGGTGCTTTAAGCTTATTTAAACATGTCTTCATTACTTGTTAATTTTTGTTTCTGTAATGTAAGTGGATCTAGCTTTGTTGATGCTATCACAGCACGAGAAATCCAGGTTTTTGCTTGGGGGGGGGGGGAGTGTTGGCACACATGGTACAATAGACCTTTTTTTTGTTTTTTTTCCACCTTTGAAAGGGGGAAGAGGAAAAATGCTGAGTGTGCCTCACCCCCCACCCCCCACCCCCCATTTATTTTCTGTCCGACAATATCGGTATGAAATTATACTCTCACACAATAAATTTCTCCGTACAACTCTCATCCATCTTGGCTGAATTCGTTGTCTAATAACTGTGGTTTTACAAAGCCATTTATCACTAAATATTGAATATAGTCGCGCCATTGAGTTAATGGTGTGGATAGATTTGGCTGGCTCCCACTGGTACTGACACTGTGATTTCCACAATCCTATATAGTCACTGGGCCTCTGAGCAACCTGAGAATGTTTGCAATAATAGATTTATTCTTGTTCCCTTGCTACATTAGTGAATTTTTCAAGGAAGGATTACGGCAAATGGCATGTGCATGTTTTGAACTGTTTGCTAATATTTCAGTTGCATTTTTGAAAACAGCTTTTGTTCATTTTGAAGATATACATTACAAATTTATTGCATGACAGATCTTTTGATTACAATTGAGTGACTTTGACTTAAAAATATCAAGGTTTATTGGACTACAGTGTATGGTTAAACTGCATACATGTAGTAAGACATTTGCCAGCACTTGAAAGACTTGGAAGATGACGGGATAAACTAAAGTGAAACAACACTTTAGAGTCCATCTATAAATCCATGATCTAAATGACCTTGACATGTCTTTTAACCTTCTGTGACCCTTGACCCTGACCTTATTTGATTTTCCATGATTTCATGAAGATTTCTTGTGAAACAAAAAACATGCATATTTCTTCTCACTGAATGTTTACTGTGAAAATTCATTGCTTCAGTTGGCTTTCATTGGGGAAATTAAGTTAAAAGGAAAACAACTTTTCATAAATGATCAATATTTCATGTTAAAATGTTGAAAGTTGAGTTAAATGTCTTTCTTTTTTTACATTAATTATTTAGGTAATAATTTTCAATGGGCCAAGTTAAAATGAGCCAGTAAATGAGTTTGAGGGGGCAAGTTGTAATTTTTAGAGTGAAAATTACAAATATGACAAAATATATAGTATCAGGTCATGTCTGCTTTGGCTTTTAATCTGTGCCTTTAGCACATGATATTAGCAATAACAACATGCCTTTGCCCCATATTAACACTGGGTAGCTTGATGTATTTACAGGGAAAATGAACATGATACAAAAGACTTGTACTGTTCATTATATGGGAGGCATAATTCATTACTTTACTGGGGACTACATGTCACCATCTTTGGGTTGTAGAAAGTGAATAATGTGTTGTTTTTTAGCTTTCTGGTTAATATAAAAGATATTTTTGAAAAGGTTTGTCCTATATTTTCATGTAAACATAACTGTTTTCAACTAGGGTAGAAAGGGTTTTAAATAATCTAATGAAGAGAAGCTTATCTTGCTTTAACATGTGATACAAATTACTGGGTATTTGTAACCATCTTGTTATAACAGTAGGATTTGATATTTTTAGTTGTGTTATCTATAATAATATATTGTTGAAAGTAATTTTTTTATTTAAAAATATCAGTATATTGTAAATATGGTATGTGCTTCACAGGGATTTGCTTTTTATTGGTTTTTATGTAATTTGATAAAATGTTTACATCATCATAGCAATAATATATTAACTGACATTAGCTTTGTATTCTCTTAATGCTGTAAGTTATTACATCACAAAAAATTGTGTCAGATTATAGATACTATTACTGATTTGAAATTATGTTATTAAGCACATGCTTGATGGTAATAATATCAGTTTCTGTTGCATTTTATTAGATTTGATCAGATTTAAGCATCATTGTATAGATATAAGATGACAAAGTCACACTGTGTTTATCTGCAGAATATAATTAGTATTGGTTTACCGTGAAAGGCAGACGTATTGTGTCAGGAGGTTTCAAACATATTGAAATATTCCACAAAAAGGCGTAAAAATTGATTGGCCTATTGATCTCATGAATGGGGAGATTTTTTTCATTTTCCCCTGAAGCTATCAAAGGGCTGAAAGGAATAATGAAAAAGAGTTGGGTAAATATATTATAATCAAATATTATGTTTAATTCACAATTTACTCATTATATTTTTGTGAGGATGAGAGATTGAAATGTGTCCACATTTGTCTGAAATGGACTTTTGACACAATTTGATAGTTGTTTACACCTGTTAATCAATCAAAATTGAAAAGAAGTTGTGAGCAGTTTCTCTTTATACATTGATTTACAATTTGTCTATATATTTAAAATATTTTTCTGAGCATGCAGCTTCAAATGATAAATTATATTCAATCCCTATTATATTTTTAAAGCGCAGCAGCATTACGGAATTTTTTTAAATAAAAAATTGGATG